ACTTTGCTTATCCCCTGTGAATGAGCTGTAAGTAACACAGAGGTGGGGCGGTAATTTGCAAATGACCAGACGTCCTCGACCTGTCCTGTGTGAACAAGCCTCACTCTGAGCCTGCACTAGGTCAAACTGATCCACGCCGTGCAAGTTACAGACGTCACGCGGGTGGGAGGAGCTTGTCCGTATTGACGAAGCAAATGCGGAAATGGAAATTATTTTTGGGCCCATAAACCAATGAGCACAGACCACTGAAAACAACACGATCTTGGGTTCAGCTTCAGATTTTATTATACCGTATTTTTCAGACTATAAGACACACATAAAATCCTTAAATTTTCTCAAAAAACGACAGTGCTCCTTATGTATTAATTCTGGTTGAGTTTACTGACCTCAAACCGATTTTATGTGGTACACGGCGCTCAAAAATCTGCCAAAATGTTTTAGTATGACTTTGGTAAACTACGAAGCTGCACCGCTTGATGGATTGTCGGAGCGTTATGGTCACCGTAGTCAGGAGCCTTGTGGAGTCGTGTCCTTTACTCCGACAGAAGATGAACCGCATCAGCGCACAAGGACGATCTGTTTTTTCCGGCTTATAGTTTATGCAAATGAGCCATGTGGTTTTTAATTTTGTTTCTGTAAAACGTAAACAAATGTGCACAAAGCTGCATTAAACACACTATTAGTCATTGTATATTTGAGTCGTCCTCGTAGGAAATAAAAAAATAAAAAAACTTAAATTATTCGCACACATTCACATTCATAAAGCACATTCACCAAGACAGAGAGACGACGCCGGGTGAATTACGCCTCGACCTGCTGATGGATCGTGGACGCCTGGACTAAAGGATCAGTCTCAAGTAGAGCTGGGTGTCATTAAGAAGTTGCCGATATGATACATACCTCGATACATAGGCCATGATATGAAACATATCTCGATACAGCGCACTTTCGATTGGCTACGATATATTTCAAATCAATTCCATGCAGTTCAATAAAAAATAAAGGCTAAATCCTGGCTGTGATACTAAAAGTCTTTGTTAAACCACTTCTTGTGTAAAGTTCATATGAAACACAAACATTTTAATCCTCAAAACAGTGAAAATGTCAAATGTGTCGCATAAACAAGTTTCCTTCAACTAAACAAGCAACAAAACTTTAGCTGTAACAAAATAATTTTGTCAAATATACCAAAAAATACTCTTGGCGATATATCAATACAGCAACTCACGATATGGATACCGTATCATCACATTAAACGATACAATATTTCGATATTTTTGCCCTGTTTGTTTCACTTAAAGGTTGTATGGAGGATTTATTTTTATTTTTTTGTTTCAAGTTGTCAGTGATAGATTATAGATGCAGTCGCCTTGTAATTATGATGACCAAAAAAAAGAGAATAAAAATTCATCAACTCTGGACGTGGTGGGGCTAAACATTTGCCAATAGATAACGACACTGCCTCGTTATCTGTGAGCTGACAGGCTGTCAATCAATCTCCCTACGTTTCTAGTGTAACTGACTTGTCTGCGCCGCCGTTACGTGGTTTACGTACGACTGTCACACAGTCCACAGACGCAAGACGCACAGACGCTGTTTACTCCACCAACGCAACAGTTCTTAGCGGCTTTTTTTTACCTATATCTTCCTCGCAGTTTGCACAAAGTTTGTTGCGATGGCGACAAGAATCCAGGAGCAGTTCGCCGCAAAAGAAAGTCAGTTTTTGAGGTCGATGAAAGAAGAAGACAAGGGGAAAAGCAGCGAAGCCAAACTAAGGTGATTCTTGGAGATTCATTCCAGCGATGGCGCGACTGAAGCAGACGAAGGGTCTAAAGACTGAAGCACTGGTCCACAAATTACTCCTGGACAGGAAACTTCTGCTTATTATGAAAACGTACTTTATTTCCAAGAGCTACACAAACGTTTTTCAGGACACGAAAGCGATATCCTATGTCTGAAAACGTCATTTTCAAGGCAAAGAAAGAGTCCGCGCACCGCTCCCCTCTCCTCTCCTCTCTCCTCTCCTCTCTCTGCTCCGTTCTTCTCCCTGCTCCTCACTTCTCGTCCGCAAACGAAATGTCCGCGCACCCGCTCCCCCCGCTCCTCACTTCTCCGTCTTGTCTAACCAACACTGTAGTTAGTTGTTTACAAGTCATGTGCAGTTCACCGGCTGTAAACAAACCTGTTTCTGGCATAAGGAGGAGGAGGGAGGAGGCGTTTCTACGTAGGAGCTGTGGGGGGGGGGGTGTTTTCACGCATGCGCAACATTTGAAAAAGGACAAACAGTCGCTGGATTTCTCCTTCCTTGGAAAATCCTCTATACAACCTTTAATGTGCCTTAAAATCTGGTGAGACTTATGTATGCAAATAGATGAGAGAATTCAACATTACTGATATTACGCCTTACGCCACCAATAACTCGACACCATAATCATACTTTGGCAAGGTGGGTGAAGTGTCTTGCCCAAGGACACTGCTGGAGATAAGCTGGAACCATCAGCTGTACCACGTCCTTAAACCACCGTTGCTCCCCAAAAACGCTGAACCGTGCTCCCTGCAGCTGAGACTAAAGCACGTTACTCTTGTCCTCGTAATATTTGTATTGTATTAAGTTAATGAGTGTGTGCGTTGGCGCCGTGTGCATCACCTCTGCTCTCAAACGATCAAACTTTTTAATTATAAAAGTGCAGGAAACAAGAGCAGCGCCGCTTGTTACATCTTAGTTTATAAATTGGAAACCGCCTGGAGAATGAACGGTCGTGGTTCATGTGGGACCGAGCAGCTGCTTCTGTTTGCTGTTTTTGCATTGTCAACATCAATCTGAGGCCCAAACAAAACACCAAATACACTTTACACAGCAGAATGTGAATAAATACAAATGCCGGCTCCACGAGAAAGAGATTTGACCCTCTGAGGCTCCCGGGAGAAAAAAGCTGCACGAGTTTAAAAAGACTTAAAAGTGCGTCGTCTAACTTTTCTGCTGGAAGGTTCGTCGAGCGCTTCTCTCCAAGGAGATGTGAGTGCCGTGTCTGGAATGTTTCACAGTTTGGCCGTTAAACCTTTTTTTTTTTATCTTCATTGAGACTAAACCGGATCAAGTTACAGGTCAGATCTGTGGAGAGGCGATCCCGGTCGCAGTCAGAATGCCTGTTTTTCGAGGTATTTTGGAGCTCTTAAACTAGCCTGATTCATGAGTCGGTTTGACTTTGTAGAAACCGTGTGACCTCGCAGCATTAGGATTCGTTCGCTCGACGGTAGGCGGGTACTTTTTTTTATTTAACCAGTCGCTGCTGTTTGGTCGTGACGTATGTAATGCTCCAAATCCCGTAGGAAGAAGGACAATAACGTCTTTTCCCCTTGATAAAATTCACCAAACATTCTCTTTGTTTCGGCTTTAAATCCTCGATCTCGGGAACTGGGAAGCTGATTGGCCGATGGACGGTCTACAACTTCTGGAGTTCTTACAAACCGTCTAGTGCACAGGTGTCAAACATAAGGCCCGGGGGCCAGATCCGGCCCTCCAAGACCTTTAATGTGGCCCTTGGGTGATTTTCTACTAAAATATTTTAATTATATTTTCTACTAAAATATTGGTAATTTTCTGCGGGGCTGAGCATAGCAGCATCTCCAGCGTCTCTGTACGTGGCCCCTCCCACCAGAGCAGCACAAATGAAGAATTGTCTCTTTCCAAAAACTCTTAAAGGACGATCGTTTTGACTGTTGACCGTGACACCCTCATCAGAAAAATGTCCAAACATGAGAAAAGTGGAGCCGAGTGTCCAGGATTTTCCCAGAAAAATTTACTTATTCCTGTTTGCATACAAGTTATTGTTAAAACATTGTGTTGAAATTGAATTTTTCTTCAAGATTCAGGTTGTTCATAATCTTATAATATTATAATAAGAAAAGAGTTTCATCAATTAAAAAAAGATTTCTGTAAATAGATTTGCGTTTCTCTGCACAAATATTTGAAGTTATTGTTATTTTTTGGGGTTTATATGACATGAGTTTTCTGATTCGGCCCCTTTGGGATCAAAGTCGGTTGGATACGGCCCCCTGAACAAAATGAGTTTGACACCCCTGGTCTCAGTGTATTCTGATTCCTGATCTAAGTATCTGGAAAATAAAACCAAAAATAAGAAAACGAAAAAAACAACTGTTTTCTTCATTATTTGTCTCCAAAACCAAAATGGTTTTCAAACAGATAACGATTCGTTTTTTCAGTTGTCGATTTTGTGGTTAAATGAAAAATGGAAAAAACAGATAACGGACTGAACCAAAACTAAACCGTTTTCAATCCTGGTCTGGTCCCGGTCTGAGTCCCGGTCTGGTCCCGTTCTGGTCCCGTTCTCAGTCCCGGTCTGGTCCCGTTCTCAGTCCCGGTCTGGTCCCGGTCTTGGTCCCGGTCTGGTCCCGTTCTCAGTCCTGGTCTTGGTCCCGTTCTCAGTCCCGGTCTGGTCCCGTTCTCAGTCCTGGTCTGGTCCCGTTCTCAGTCCCGGTCTGGTCCCGTTCTCAGTCCTGGTCTTGGTCCCGTTCTCAGTCCCGGTCTGGTCCCGTTCTCAGTCCCGGTCTGGTCCCGGTCTGGTCCCGGTCTGGTCCCGGTCTTGGTCCCGGTTTGGTTCCGGTCTGGTCCCAGACCTGTTTTAGTCCTGGTTCAGTCCGTTATCCATTTTTTCCATAAAACTGAAAAAATGAATCATTATCTGTTTTTTCATTTTGGTTTTGGAGACAAATAATGAAGAAAACTGTTGTTTTTTCGTTTTCTGATTTTTTATTTTATTTTGAAAAATGAATGAATGATACATGGATTTAGGAGGTTAAAGCCAGACTGTGAAACATTCCAGACTAAGCATCTCCAACATCTCCATGAAGAAAAGTGTTTCCAGGGCCGATAAATCATGACCATAATCCTTTTCCACTACATCTTTTTTGACAGTGTTCTCGTAGTTTTGACCCCGTGAGGCTTCTGTAGTCTGAGTTTCCTTCCTCTGTGTTCGCAGGCACGTCTTCTAAAATCACGGAGCAGAACTTGAAGGGCACGGATATCGATTCGGACGACGTGAAGCTGAGGTACGTCCTGACCAAAGAGCCGGCCGGCGGGAGACTTCTGCTGAACCAGGAAAAGCTCTCTGTGAAGGGGCCCGTCAACGGATTCACCCAGGAACAAGTCAACAAAGGTAAAGACGGCTGACAAACGGCCGGGAAGGACTAAAGATGTTTTATTTCAAATCAAAATAATGCTCACAAAAGGGCTGCTCGATGATGGAAAAAATCATTATCACGATTATTTTGGTCAATATTGAAATCACGATTATTCAAATGATTATTTTTTAGTAACACTTATGCATTTATTCAGAATTTCTCTCTCTCTAATTTACGCAAAACTTTTTTATTTTTTATTATTATTATGTTTATTTATTTTCGGACAGTAATACATAGAACATAAATTAAAAAACAAATAATAAAAAAAGACAAAAACGTAAATACATAGATATAACACAAAAAGTAACTATTTCTATTCTATAATAACAGGCAAAATAAATGTTACGCAGAATTTTCCTTGTGTCCGAAAAAGGAGTGGGAGGAAGTAAATACTTATTTAACCCCACCCCTTTTTTCTACAGTCCCAAATTAACGAAGAACAAATACAGACTTCTCATTTCCTGTACATTATAAGCAATAATTGCACAGTACCTCCATTGCATTACAATCTAACAGACAACAACAAATATATGTATATTATGTACACAGATATAGTACACATCATATACACAGATATAATATATACATACCTACATACACATCACATACCCATGCATACCTCTATATATATATATATATACATATATACACCCATATACATACACATACATATACATGCACACATATACCCTAAGCACTCATTCTTCCGCACAGTATTTTGAAATCATTAATTTTTTTAAATTGAAAATAAATTCACGCTACAAATCTGACCGTTAGAGCAGTTTTGCGACGTATTAAACATAAAATGAATAAAACTAACTTTGAATATGAAATAAGTCATACAAAAACATAAATGTATCCAAAATAAACTAATTATCCAACTGTTTTACAATCTCTGTATTTAAAAAATAAAATAAATACACTTATTTATATAAAGAATATCCCAAAATAAAGTTTGTTAAGCTTTAAATTGTTTCAACTCGATTATAATAGACTGAATGAACAGAGGAAGTTTATATAGATCAGACATGTCAAACTTGGCCGTGATATAATTGTATTTTTCCCCAACAGATCATATCAAACATGTATTAAAGCTGCCCACTGCTATAAGCTATAGAGACATAATTTATTTAATATTTATTTATTTAATATTATCTATTTAATATTTTGTTATTATTTTATATTCTGCTTGTTCTGACACAATGTTTAAGCACAACTATTATTAAACATTTATTTTAATTAGAAATAACGCTCGAGCTCGATCCTTCGTGGAGTTATGACCAAAAACACATATTTGACCTTGGTGACCTTGACCGGTTTCAACCTGTAACATCCAGTGCAGCCCGGTTATGTGTGTGCCAACTTGTGTGACGACTGGGTGAATATTTTAGGCCGCAGATGGTTCAGAAATTGCAGAAATTGCCTAAATCCTTTATAATGGTGTGACTTTTCAATTGACCCGTGTGACCTCAAATGACCTTGGATCCTCACCAAACTTTTCTCCTTTAAGTTTTGTTCTTTCTTCTCTTGATCGTTGTGGATAAATTGTTCATGTTAGACTGAGTGCGTTTACATGCACATCAATAACCCGGTTATTAGCCATATCCCGGTTCTGTCAGTGTTCGTGTTACTGTGTTTACATGCGCACTGAGAAACCGGGACACTCATATCCGCGTGTACATGATCAAATGGAGTATCCCGGTTTCTTGACATAATCTTACAAATGCGCAGGCGCAAAAATTAACTTAAATCAATTTCATAAACCAGGAAAAATACAAACCGTGAGCTCCTTTAGCATAAGAAGCTAAGGAGCTACGAGATCTCCCACAATCCACTGTGCAGATTCTTCATTAAAATCTTCTGCATAAATAAACTCAACTTTACAACATATAAACCATAAACACTATAGACACATCAGCCCGTTTGATCAGATAATTCAGCTGTGATCACATTTGTTTACGTTTTACAGAAACGAAACTTAAGACCGTTTGGCTAATTAGCATAAACTGTTAGCGGCGATAAAAACAACTCGCTCCTTGCGCCGCTGATGCGATCAGTTTCTTTTGGACTAAATGACACGACTCTGTGGATTATGTGTGTTATTTCTGTGACAGAAGAGGTGCTGATGATGGTAAGTGTGTTCTGTGCGTATAGAGTATAGGAGATAGTTCATGTTTTTAGCTTTTCAGCGTCACACGAGTGCAGGTCGTACGAGTGCAGATTGTACGTGTGCAGATTGTTCGTGTGCAGGTTTAGCGCAGCTCTTAATTTTACGTCATTTCACTCGTTTGGTCACTTTATTTATGTTGGTCAATTTATTTATGTCGCTACTGTTGTGGTGAAAGGCTGGAAAGTGTCTTTTGGACGCATGCGACTCAACTTTATGTTGCAGTAACCGGGATACTGCGTTTACATGCCACAAGTAACCCGGTTACTAACGGAATAAACCAGCTACAGTAACCTGGTTTCTAATAACCGGGTTACTGAAACCGGGTTACTGCGTTTACATGCACCATCAAGAAACAGGGATATTCAAAAAACCCGATCATAACCGGGTTATTGATGTGCATGTAAACACACTCAATGTTTCTCCATTGTGGAGTTTGTTGGTTGAAGATTTGGTGACGGGGCAGATTTATGAAGCTGCTGGAGAAAACGACACACATTTACACACACATTTACACACACATTTACACACACAATTTGACACAGAAAAACATTAACAGGAAGTTACATTTACCCGACATCGCGACAGTTTCGGCCGTTGTGAAAAAGATCTGTTCCTATTTCATTTGATTCTGATTATTAGGTCATTAATACTTGTAATTTATCACCATTACCATCCATTTTTCTTTTCTTTTGATATTCATTTTATATGGAGAAAAAAACCTAACAAAAAACCCTAAAACTCTGACAAAATTACTAACATTTCCGTGAAGACGAGCAACTGACGGACTGTCCATCACGAAGTTACTCAGTTCACCTTTAAGTTCGAGTTAGTTTGACCTGTTCCTTTCTGAAATATTCACCTTGGCGGGCTTTAGTGGCATGTTTCTTATCTGTGCGAGCGCTTTTTTGGATTTGGAGAGTTGGAGAGGTCTGCTGCACAACGGAGCCAAGTTTGTGTCAGTGTGGCCCAGAGCGAGTGTGACGGAGCGCTGACTGAACACTGCGCTAATGTAATGTAGGAGCGTGGAAAGTGCTCTGTAAATCTGAGCCGCTGCTGCTGCCGCTGTTATTATTTTTCTTCTTCTCTCGCTCTTTAATCTCTCTAATACTTTGGGCTCGTGTGTTCTCAGGCCTGGTGCAGTTCAGCCACGAGAAGTCGGAGAAAGGAGGGAGTCTGTCCTTCAAGTTCAACCTGGTGGATCCCGAAGGCAACAAGCTCATCGACCAGTCCTTCTACATCAGCGTTCTGGGTATGTTTTTTTTGTATCATGTTACTCTTAAGAACTGTAATATCCATATTTTTTAAGGCAAGGCAAGGCAAGTTTATTTGTACAGCACAATTCGTACACAAAGTAATTCAAAGTGCTTTACAGAATAAGAAATACATTAAAATCATAATAAAAACAAATCAAAACATAAATAATCATGAAGATTAAAATTAAAAAAGAGAGACATAAATTGGAGAGAAGAGTGCGGAATGAAAACCTTTCAGTTATTTGCACAGTTAAACAGAAATGTTTAGAGTCTGGATTTAAACAGCGTCACAGAAGAGTCTGTCTCACATGTTCAGACTGTTCCAGGTTTTAGCTGCATGAACCTGAAACTCTGACTCCCCTTGTTTAGTCGTGACTCTGGGCACCAGCAGGAGTTGGTCCCTGAGCTCCTCAGAGTGTGAGATGTTCATATGACACTAACATGTCACAGATGGACTTTGGTGCTCGGCCATGGAGACACTTGTACAAACAGAGCTGCTTTAAAGTCTCTGAGCCACAGGAGCCAGAGCAGAGACCTGAGCACAGGACTTATGTGCTCGTACTTCCTAGTTCGAGTAAGGACCCGAGCTGCAGCGTTCTGGATGTTCTGGATGTTCTGGATGTTCTGGATGTTCTGCAGCGTCTCACAGCTCGTTTGGAGAGACCAGTGAGCAGAACATTAACATACATTATGTATTACACGAGATGTGTGAAGAATCCCTCAGTCGTCCAGGTCGAGTTCACCGCAAGGAGAAAATTCAGTTTGTCGACTGGACAAAAGTTAGTTTGGTTGAAGACGTTTCTCAGCTCATCCAGGCTTTTTCTTCAGTTCTGGTCAGACTTTGGTGGACACTTCCTTATATCTGCAGGGAGGAGCTAACTACACTGAAACTACTCTGAAACTAACACACACTTGTTTACAGTTTGTGTTTGTTAGTTGGGCCTGTTGACCTGTACAGGGTGTTGGGTCTAATTAACAGAACAATTCATGGACATAATGGAGCTTCCACACCTCTGGACCTGACCTGATACACCTGTTGTTCTCTTGTTTGTTTTGATTTAGGTTTGAGGATGGAGTTGTAAATAGGAGATAGACGGTGTCTGAGTCTCCAGTTCTGTTTAGAGAAGGATTCTTTCTCTTAAACAAAATGTCTTCTTTCACTCTCCTCTCAAACCAGTTCTTTTCTCTGGCTAAAATCTGTACCTCGCTGTCCTCAAATGAGTGGCCCGTGGCTTTTAAGTGGAGATTTACAACAGACTGAGGTCCTGTGTTGTTCTCTCGTCTGTACTGGTTCATCCTCTTGTGAAGTAGCTGTTTAGTTTCTCCAATGTAGCGTTCACTTCAGTCTTCACTGCTCTGAATGGAGGAGACCACATTGTTTTGTTCGTGGCTCGGTGTTTTGTCCTTGAGGTCGACCAGTTTCTGTCTTAGAGTGTTCGTCAGTTTGAAATAGACCGGGATCTCATGTTGTCTGAAAAATCCTCTGTAGTTTTTTTGGTGTTTTTGAAAAACTACTGAGGATTTTCAGACAACATAAGTAGTTATTTAGCTCCTCCTTGCAGACAGACAGGCTTTTTAATGTGTTGTGGCTTTTTAATGTGTTGTGGCTTTTTAATGTGTTGTGGCTTTTTAATGTGTTGTGGCTTTTTAATGTGTTGTGGCTTTTTAATGTGTTGTGGCTTTTTAATGTGTTGAGGCTTTTAATGTGTTGTGGCTTTTTAATGTGTGTGGCTTTTAATGTGTTGTGGCTTTTTAATGCGTTGTGCTTTTTAATGTGTTGTGGCTTTTTAATGTGTTGTGGCTTTTTAATGTGTTGTGGCTTTTTAATGTGTTGTGGCTTTTTGGTGTGTTGTGGCTTTTTAATGCGTTGTGGCTTTTTGGTGTGTTGTGGCTTTTTAATGTGTTGTAGCGCTCGCGTTTGTGTTGTGGCGTTTGCATTTGTTGCGGCGTTTGCGTTAAAATAAAGTCCCGCGGTCATTTCCGTTGCGGCTTTTTTTGGTGTGTTGTGGCTTTTTGTCGTGTCGTCGCATTTGTATTTGTCGCGGCGTTTGCGTTTGTTGTGACCCCTCTCGGCTTCCGTACTTAACACTTAACACACTCAACAGGTCACACAGTAAAGCTTCGAACTTATCCGTGTTTTCTATTTTGATAAATAGTGGTTTTAAATGTACTTTAAAGCTGCAGTACGTCACTTTTTAGACATAAAATAGACTATGTTGACAGAGAAAGACACTTTCCAAGATCCTCCATTCTCCAAACGACCTCTGCTCTTTTCACTCTGGTTCATTCACAAAAATTTAAAATGAAATGGTGTCGTAGGAGCTTGAAGCATAAAGGGAGGTTAAGATTAAAAATGTGCGTCTTTGTTCTTTGTTTTGAAGCGCTTTGAGTCTAGAAGGTGACCATTTAGCGTTTGAAAATAAGCGATTAAAGATTGTTCAAACATGCACAAATCCCTCCAAACACAACTGCAGAGGGTCGGCCAGCGGTGAGAGGAAACAATTATCACGTGGATAAAAGCTCTCGAAAGTCCAATTTGCAGAATAGGTCAGTTTTAATAGGAACCCACCCAGGCTTTCTTGTTTTTACTAATTACAAGTCCCTCAAATCTTATTTTTAGTGACACATGCTTCAGTTTTGACACGGGAAGAGTCAAAATATGAATTAGATGAATATCACAAGTTAAATAAAATTGATAAATTCCAGTAATTGCATCTTGAAAATAAATGATTAAAGATGACTCAGACATGCACAAATCACTCCAAATACAACTTCGGGTGAGTTAATGGTGACAAGAAACAATTATAACAGTTAAAAGTTTTGAGTCTGTCAATTTTTTAATAAGAATTCCTCCTAGACTTTTTTTTTTTCTTACTAATTAGTCCCTAAATCTCATTTTTAGTGACACATGCTTCAGTTTTGACATGGGAAGAGTCAGAAATATGAATTAGATGAATATCACAGATTAAGAAAATAAAATTGGAGATTGACAGATAAATTGGAGCAATGACATCTTGAAGTGATTAAAGTTGACTCAAAAATGCACAAATCACTGCAGATACAATTTCAGGTGAGTTAATGGTGACAAGAAACAATTATAACACAGTTAAAAGTTTTGAGTCAGTCAATTTTTTAATAAGAATTCCTCCTAGACTTTTTTTTTTCTTACTAATTAGTCCCTAAATCTCATTTTTAGTGACACATGCTTCAGTTTTCGACATGGGAAGAGTCGGAAATATGAATTCTACATAATGACATTTTGAAGTGATTAAAAATGACTCAAAAATGCACAAATTATTCCAAATACAACTTCAGGTGAGTAAACAGTGAGAGGAAACAATTATAACACGGTTAAAAGCTTTGAGTCCATCAATTTTTTAATAAGAATTTCACCTAACTTTTTTTTTTCTTACTAATTAGTCCCTAAATCTTATTTTTAGTGACACACGCTTCAGTTTTGACATGGGAAGAGTCAAAATATGAATCCTAAACATATCACAGATTAAATAAAATTGATAAATTGCAGAGAGAAAGATAAATTGGAGTAATTACATCTTGAAAATAAGTGATTAAAGTTGACTCAGAGATGCACAAATCACTTCAAATACAACTTCAGGTGAGTAAATGATGAGAGGAAACAATTATCGCACGGTTAAAAGCTTTGAGTCAGAATTTAGCAGAAGAGGTCAGTTTTACTAGGAATTTTTCTTACTAATTAGTCCCTAAATCTCATTTTTAGTGACACATGCTTCAGTTTTGACATGGGAAGTGTCAGAAATATGAATTAGATGAATATCACAGATTAAATTAAATTGATAAATTGGAGTAATTACACCTTGAAAATAAGCGATTAAAGTTGACTCAAAAATGCACAAATTATTCCAAATACAACTTCAGGTGAGTAAACAGTGAGAGGAAACAATTATAACACAGTTAAAAGCTTTGAGTCAGTCAATTTTTTAATAAGAATTCCTCCTAGACTTTTTTTTTTCTTACTAATTAGTCCCTAAATCTCATTTTTAGTGACACAGGCTTAATTAGATGAATATCACAGATTAAGAAAATAAAAACTGGAGATTGATAGATAAATTGGAGTAATAACATCTTGAAGTGATTAAAGTTGACTCAAAATGCACAAATCACTGCAGATACAACTTCAGGTGAGTGAACAGTGACAAGAAACAATTATAACACGGTTAAAAGCTTTGAGTCCATCAATTTTTTAATAAGAATTTTCGCCTAACCTTTTTTTTTTTCTTACTAATTAGTCCCTAAATCTCATTTTTAGTGACACAGGCTTCAGTTTTGACATGGGAAGTGTCAGAAATATGAATTAGATGAATATCACAGATTAAATTAAATTGATAAATTGGAGTAATTACACCTTGAAAATAAGCGATTAAAGTTGACTCAAACATGCACAAATCACTTCAGCTTTGACATGAGACGTGTCAAAATATGAATCCTACACATACCACAGATTAAGAAAATAAAAATTGGAGATTGATAGATAAATTAGAGCAATGACATCTTGAAGTGATTAAAGTTGACTCAAAAATGCACAAATTATTCCAAGTACAACTTCAGGTGAGTAAACGGTGAGAGGAAACAATTATAACACGGTTTAAAGCTTTGAGTCCATCAATTTTTTAATAAGAATTTCGCCTAAACTTTTTTTTTCCTAGTCAGTCTCGAAATCTCATTTTTAGTGACACGTGCTTCAGCTTTGACATGGGAAGTGTCAGAAATATGACTCCTACACATATCACAGATTAAATAAAACTGCAGAGAGATGGATACGTTGGAGTAATTACATCTTGAAAATAATCTTTTAATGGTTACTCAAACATGCACAAATCATTCCAAATACAACTTCAGGTGAGTAGATGCTGAGTGGAAATAATTATAACACAGTTAAAACCTCTGAGTCAGTCAATTTTGCAGAATAGGTCAGTTTTACTAGGAATTCTGCCAAGTTTTTTTTTTTTTTCTTACT